ATAATACTATATTAATTCAATTTATAAAATAATCATAAATCATTGTGTACGAATTAAAAATAAAAATCGATTTGATTCATATTCAGTCACGTTTAACGCCCGTACCTACATAATATAATTTGCATAATGCGGCTGGTATTATTTTAAATCGACTATCAATTCACGTAGAAATGAAATGCGATATCGTATGTAGAACGATTACCTATATTAAAATGTTTCATAATACTTCCCAACTTGTTTTGTTGCTTAAATAACACATATTAAATAGCCATATAAGTATACATATTGTAAATAAAATTAGTTCATTTTATTTAATATTATTTAGACAACAAATATTATCAAACTTGTATATAACAATACATATGTAAAGACAATATTAAAATTTGAAATAATCATAATCTTATTTCAAAGTCAAAAGAATTTTATAATTTGTATAGATGTTGAATGTCTGTCATATTATTCAAATGTAAATAAATAGGTGTACATCTATAAAATATTTTTGTCTCATAAGCTTAATATTATTGGTTGATACAAATATTTAACAATATACGATTTTGCAACATTTAATATTATTTGGTATCTATATACTACCTAAATGTCTAGAAGATGTTGTTTTTTATTTAAATTTTTATGTCATTCATAAAGTATAAATCTAAGTAGAATAAATAAATTTACATACAATAGGTTAACAGATTTCCAGGTTCTCGATTTAAACTGTTTTCTTGTATTGGATTAAACATTTTCTTGATAGTAGACATTTTTTCAATTTTCAATAAAAAAAAAAAAAAAAGAAAAGATTTTTGTTACAATAAATAAATTATACACAATACATAGTGAAATATCCATCTAATGAATATCCCGAATCTTGTTATTCATGAAAAATAGAAATATAACAGTTTTTATTAAGTCACGAAGGAGAGTCGTACCTAAACGTTGTACAATCTGATAAATACTTCAATTTCCTTTCTCTTAAAGAATCTATAAAGTTCAAGAATTCGTGTAAGTCAATATGTATTCATGTATAATGTTACATTATCCACTAAGTCAATACATAAGACGATAGGTGTATAAATATACATATCTAATATATATATCTTAAACTGAATCTAGATCGGTTCCAAATTTAATTGATGTTATCTATAGTATTATCTATTCAAATATAAAACATTTCCTATTGTATTCATATTTTACAATGACGGGTTCATACTTAGCAAAGCATAACCTCATTATGCTCTGATGAGTTTTAATAACAAATTACTCATTTTTGATTCAGAAATCACTTTTGCCATTATAATTAAATTAAAGTGTATTTAATGCGTGCACCGTATAAATGGTGTAGGGTAAATTCGATAAGATACAAAATATATTCATAAGTTTCCCAACACTTCACTGTTCGCTTTTATTTTGTAATTTATACAAATTTATTGAAATAATATAATACCGTAGAATGTAGATGGTTCATATTTTGACATTTAGTTCGTGCATGCGTTGTTAAAAGTAATTTGTTGTGAACTGAAATCGAATTCGTGTTTGACATTTGTTAAATCAAATATAGCAAGTAAAAAAATATCCCGTCATATTGTATAGTGTTTTCCGTTAACTATAAATGTTTTTAACGAAAAAACTGATGATTTTTTTTTTACTTTTAAATTCTGGTACTATGATTTGTGTTATCAATTAAATTTTTTTCACTCAGACATTATTATTTTTTTTTTTTTAAATACTCCCATCCACTTATGTCTGTTTGTATGATATAAAAGTTAACATTCCGCCAAATACGTTCTCGACCAATTAGATAGTTATAGTAATAATAATAATAGTAACAAAAAATACAGTTCTGCGATTACGATGACGTTTACTCGACGCGTGTTAGTTGAAAATACAATGATTCCACAAAGTCAACCGACCCGGAACGTGATATATTTTCTTCTTTTTGATGGCGGCGTCGGCGCGCGTGCGTGTGTATATACTATATTTACTCTCCACTATGTTCGCGATGATGAATACAATTCTTACCAATTATCGTTTTACCCGTCTTGCTATTGTTTGACGGATGGACCGAGAGACAGGTAAATGTGACATCACTGTAACGTGTATACGTACGTCGTTTTTGTTGAAAATTTGATTTTTATTTAATTTAAACATTATTCGTTGCAGTAATAATCATCAATTGGGTGGGGAATACCGGTTTAAACGACATACAGGAAAAATATAACATTATGACATGCTGATGTTTTGACCGGAAATATTGATAACTAATAACTAAAGATATTTCTTATACAAGAATTTTAAGGCCATAGATATCATATGAAATATCGATATTATATAACCTATCAAAGAAATCGTAGATAAAAAATATTGTTATTCTTTTTGTCGATTTTTTTTTATTATTTCAATTAGCTTATATTATAATTTAATAATAATTTTAGTTAACTTATTTTGCAAGTCTAATTTGGAAAATGAAATGTTAACTATGATTTGACTTTACAATTAACTTACCTACTGACAATATTTAAATGGAAAAATACTAGAATATGATTTTTATAATATCGGTCAAGATGATACAGTGCATAGTATATTGAATACAGGTAACAAATGAAAATTGTGTTATTATATAATTATATTAGTGATTTAAATTTATCACAAATGAGATTCAATCATGCATAATCCTCAGTTAGTTTTTCATTTATCGACTAATTTCCTATTTGTAAGCGAATTTAATGTATTTACCCAAAGTGAAATAATAACTTACTTATTTTTTCGAATTTTATTCGATGAATAACTATCTTATATGACGTGTTCCTTAATCGCACATTCCTATATCATACTTAACTATTGTTTGCATGTTAGTAAACTATTATTTTCTCATTTAATAATTATTAATCTATCAACCGTGAATTCCAAAATATCGTTTTCGCTCAACGCCCTGAAATTCTTAGTTCAATATATATATATGTGCTATTTTTCAAACATGAACACGATTAACGAACAAAAGACACGCGCTCGTGTATTTGATATTTAATATAATATAATATATAGCTGAAAATAAATCCATGAAAACGAGAACTCACAATGAGTCCAATGAGGTAATCATAAAATATGATGGACATATTCGATTTTCTTCTACTGCCAATGGTATAATATTATGGTGTATTTATATATATATATATATAATATATTATCCGCAGCTAGTGTTCACTATACAAATTGAATCGGAAGTAGCGTAATGCATACGAACTGAATCTACTATTGTGGATTAAAGTGGTTTCACCATATCGAGAATAAATGCTATATTATACTACAATAATGGTCTCATCATCCCTTTTCTGGTATTGTGTTTTCCGATTTTCATTTACGTTGCGGTGAACAGAATAGATATATTATATTCAAATAGTACTTATCGGATCACAAAATGGCTGAAAACAATAGTTAGTAATATTATGATATAAGCGTTAATAATTAAATATGTCTAGAAGTAAACCTACCGATAGTCAACAGTTATTGTATTTTAAAATAGATATTATTCGTTTAAAAAAATTACTTATAATCTGTACTACGTTAATATGGTATAATACATAAAAGTACATTTAAAAAAACTTTTTACGTTATTAAATTTTGATCTATATCAACATTAAAATATTAGTTTAGACTTTTTCACTTTTAAAAAATCGTCGTATAATGTGTGTAATACATGCATATAATAATAGCATATAATACATATAGATTCATCATAATCAAATAAACAATAACGATGTACGAATGTATATTTCTAATGAAAAGTCTTGACTCTTGAGTAATTTTTTTTACGCGTAATGTGCACGAGAAAGTTACATTAATTGTTATTACATATATATATATATATATATTGGTATACACATAATAGATAATATAGATTAATTATTCTACAAAATTCAATACGCCTTAATACTTTTCAATATATTTACCTATTATATTCCCGTATAACTTTTGAATCATTTGTCTAATGTCTATATGTATAAACATTAAAATATCCGATATTTTCCAGTAAAATAATAAGCTTACTCTTGGTGATTTGGGAAATGATTCGTAGCGCGCGTGATAATAATTTAAAATATTTTTCAAAATCCATTGCGCAGATTTAAATAAACGAATACGATACGAAACATCACGTACGAGTACCTACCGTAGTAATATTACTAATATTACTATACACAGTCATATGTCCATCAATGCGGAATTAACCGATGTTGGATCATTATTGTACAAATACCGTGTAAATCATATAAAATATTTACCAACTCGTCATTATTAATTATAATTAATATTAAAAACGAACAATCGAGAACAGCATATTATAAACTATAATGTAATAATATAATATAATATATACGTTTGTATACAACGTGAAGAGTTCATACACTTCGCGGTTGTAATTAACTGCGATTTAAAACATATTATAAAACATACGCAGGTAGGTATTATTATTGTTGTTAGATAACAAGCACTTTTGAAGTGTGCAGCATTGTCCGTGGGAAAACAAAAACTCCGGGGAAAACAAACACACACACAATATATACGTTTATTATTACCGTACGCGTCGGATTCATCTGAGGTGTTTTTCCCCCCCGGTACCTCCGGCGGAGTTGTTTCCCCTACTTGCAGTGGCGGCGGCGGTGGCCACTAATGCGGCGTGTTAACCAAGCGACAGTCCCGAATTGTGTCGTCGATGTACCTACACACACGCAAGTCGTGCCGTCACCGCGTTTACGACCATCGATAATATTATAGCATATAGTAATAAAATACAGACTTTTGATTTTCGTTTACAACCGCCGTGTTATATTCATATATTCATATATTTATCAGTTTATCGTAATCATAATATTATTATTATTATTATTATTATTATTATTATCATTACTACTCGCGTAATTTTTTTACGTGTTGCGTTTATGTACGCAAGTATATTAGTGTCATGGATGGCCGTCATGTCTAAAAAAAACCGTATTTGTGTTTTACAGCCGACTTCCACACAAATGACAAGATGAAACGCAACTGGATTAGCTCAGATCGATTGTGGTGCCTATTCTTGAGTGAGTACCAAATACTATTTTTATCTAAATATTATTATTATTTTATTATATGATTAAATAACATTTTTTTCATTACCTACATTAATTTGTTAAATACCATATAAAATAATATGGTTTTTTTTTCACATGAGCTAAAATGATGAGTTCGTATGTTTACATAATTTTCAACATTCACATATTCGTTATAAACAGTAAAATTCTAACATTATGTATAATTGTAATTTGTATTACATAAAACTGTAGTTTATAATATTTCTATATAAACTATGTGTAGTGTTTAGCTAAGCTTATTTACTTTTGAGCCGCAGAAAAACTGGCTTGAAAGATGATCGACTAACCACATATAATGCATAAATTATAAAACGTTATTTAATCTCAATTGTAAATAATTGAATATATATATAATTAAAATATGTGATATAAACATATTTAATTTTACGTTTTGAAAAAACCAATGTTCATTGTATTGTATGTTAAGTTAATAAAATAATAATAATAATAATATATATTAAACACTAATTTCACGAATAAATTTAATATAAAGACGTTTTAAAAGTAAAAACTGTTAACAAATTATATCAGAATAACAAATGATGATAAATTATAATAATTTAACTATGAATTGAATGATGTAAAATAATATGCAGTACTCTATTTTATATATTTTAAAAAACCAAAACTAAAATAATGCATAGCATAGGTATATTAGCGTCAAAGCCTCATTTGCCAATGTAAGTATTTAAGTAACGCGATAGATATTATAATATTTAAAATGTATTTTTAGGATCTCCGTAGTGTGTGCTATTGAATTTACCTACTTAGATATACACAGATGTAATTAGTAGTTGATAGACGTGAGCAATCAATAACTTATGAAATATTGAAAATATTACTAATACAATAAATAAATCATAATTTAAAATAAACTAACATTTAGTTTTTAATACTTAAATATAGTTACGTGTGAACACTAACGTAATTCCTGAATACCCTTTTACAGAGGTGTATGTTTTAATTAAACTAAAATATTGTTTAACCTTATATAGGTGCTACCAAAATTTGCTTTGTCAGTCTAAATTTTTACCGCTAGTGATCAATCTACGTATTATGACGTTTACTGTGGGCTGTTTCAACTTTCCAAACAAATTAAAATATTGTTATTTATTTTTTTCTATAAATACCATTTCATTGAGAAAATGAAAACAATTTCAAAATTACTTATTGTTTAAATATTACTTATTTATAATTTTGTATTTTTTTTTTTTTTAAAAAAAGGTTGCATACAATAAGTAAAATAATAAAAATTATAATTTTTTCTGTAATACTTAGCTTTAACATTAAATAAGTGAAGTGTGACAAATATAATTTTTCTAAAATAATAAGCATTGATATATAATTATTGCTAATTTAGTTTTGTAATACTTTTAGTAAAAATACCTAGTAAGAATGTAGTAATATTATCTACTTGGGATTATACAAAATATTTGAATATTTCATGTATTACTTGTGTATTGAGAATTTAATAAAATAAAATACATTTATATTATATACTAAGTATTTTTTAAATGTAATGATTGATTTATCAAGTTATCTAGTTAATTAAATTCATCGTAAATAAAATTAAAGCTCTCAATTCAAAAAAAAAACCAGATTTCAATATTTCATACTGTTATTTGAATTTGACAATCAATCGATTTCGTGCCCACATATTTTACTATGTATATTTAAAGTGCTTCATTGCCATTATTTTTTTTCCATAACTATAATTTTAAATATATCCATAGACCATAGTCATTATTTATTTAGGTAGTTATCTACCATAATTATTAATATTCGATTTAATGATAGATCTCTTGTTTTTATGTCATTATTACAAATTGTTTTTGCTTGTCGTTGCAACGGTGGTTCATCTACTATCGTAATTATAAATCATAAAATATTAGCCTTTCTAAATATTTATGTTTGATGGATTTTGTTGAGAAATATCATTATCAGACATTCTCGATGTTCTCTTGATATCCATACCACATACATAACATATTAAATATATATAGGTATATACCTATCCACCAGCTTTGGTAATTCTAAGTGACACGATTGTTGGCGTAATGATTATACACTTGAGATATGTTATGTGTATACAATATAAATACAAGAGAAGTAGAAATAGAAAAAAAGAAAACATTGAAATCAGTCAACGAAATAGTTATGTCTGATTCAATTAAAGGGCTGGGCTTGACATTGTAACATAATGGTAAAACATTAAAGCGTGCTTTTCAGTTTTTTTCGGTTCTATGCATTGCGATATTGGCCCGAATAATCTTAACAATATGGTAATTCCGTAAAGTCAACAACGTCCGGTGTTTGTTGGGCAAAAATTAACGAAAAAAAAAATAATAATAAGTAATAACGATAGAAGTAGAATATTATAAATAATAATAAAAAAAAAAACCAAGAAAATAAAAGTAAACGGGTATAATGATAAAAGGCGGTACAGACACGAACAGAATACGTCGGAAATTCATCCAATTATTGAACACAATAGGAGAATTTTTAATTTCATTTGTAAAAAGTTGCACAGCGGACATCAATGTCAAGTCGTCCCGTTTGTCCGTTTAGTTTATCCGAATAAACTTTCGAAAATCACAACGAAACACCTATTGAACGACATCGACCATTGAAAATAATTACCGTCTTAGCAGTTCAGAACGTTTTTCTCTTTTTTTCTTCATTGTCTACACGACAGCTCAATAAAGTTTTTTAATTGTTTATTATCTTACCCGATATTTTACAAATAGAGTTATAATTTTAATGCGTTGAAAAACTGTGAAAATTTATTTAAGACAAATGCAAAAATGCTTTTAAAATCTCAAAATATACAATATACACAAATGCGTTCAAAAATATACTTCTAATTGTTTAAAAATGATACAACGGAATCGTTTTGAACAATGATGAATATGTTTGTGTGTATGTGTAATTTTGTTGTTTTATCTTGTCGTTACGACATCGTAACTATACTTTTTCATATAGTTGTAATGTAAATCATAGGCGAGCGTAGGCCTCTTTTCCAGGATATGCAAAAGGCTGCCACTGGCGCCATGGCGGATACAGGGGGAAAATTAGGGGGAAAATTAGGGGGAAATAATAAAAATTATAATTTATCATAACGCCATAACACCATTCTACGTTAGGTTAAGTTTTTGAAATCATCAATGATGTCTTCGGGGTTTAAATTAACAACCATTTCTTGTTCTATAGTTACAAGCATCAAAGTAATTAACCTTTCTTCTATTATTATTAAACATTTACTATATAATTATGAACATGTTTTGTACAATAGACTATTATAAACATAAATTAAATATAACACTTTTAATTTGAAAAATGGTCTTTGGTATGTGTGAAGCTCCGTGTTCGTTCAGGGTATGCAGTTGCATACTCTGCATACCCCCTGCGCACGCCTATGATGTAAATCTTGTATTTGATATTAAAAAATGTATAAATACACGTATAAACATTTCTGTGAAACTACAATAAAATAAATAAACAATTTTTAAACGCACACACAATTAGTTCAATCCAATGATTATTGATTAAAACATAAAATATAGCAGTAGATTAAAGTAATATATTTTTAAACGACAATAAAATCATAAAATGACCAGTGTTTTTTTATGACTCCCAACCATCATCATTAGTTCATATTATTTTTCTTTTAATAAGAGTAAAAAAAAAAAATTTTAAAAAATATCGCTCACTATAACTTTCGCGTAGACAGCATTAATCAATCATTTAAGTATTTCGTCATGAATATTTTCATTGTCATTAAATTATCCAAGCTACTGTTATAAATTTATAGGACATAATTTCTTTATTTCATGCCATTTGTATTTTCTAAAATTGAGAAAAAAATAACGATGAAGTTATAACTAATAATCACACAATCGATTTAAACGCTACGAAAAGATCGCAAACCAAAAGATGAGTACATTGCGAGCATTATTGAGTTATGCATGCGACGGACGATCGTCAGTCTGTCTGCAATGCGGACTCAAGAGTTCGCGACCTTGGCACCGTTGGTTTGTATGTATACAAATCCGATCGCATCCTTTCGATACATTATCTCGCGAAGTAACATTTACACACACACGCGCACATATACATATGTGAACACAGTTGACCGAGTGACATGGATCGTTGCCTGGATTTATATGTAGAATAATATATAATATAATATATTCTCGTGTAAAAATCTGCAGTCAATTATAGTAATTATATTAAAATTTACATTGCGGAATCGTTCGGTCGTGTTTTAAAAATAGCGTCTATCGTGTTCACCGACCGTCTAGCCATTGGGATTTATCTGGTCCGTAGCATCTCTTTTCTGCCAAGGTCGTCGCTTAATAGCCGTTCGTCACAAACGCACGCACCATCGACTGTAGAGGTATAATTATTTTAATATAGTCGTCGGGCCAATCCGATCCACGCAGTATTATGTTATATTCACCTTACTTTATTATTATTTATTTGTATAATATATATAGTAAGTAGATTGATTAAATCTGTGCCATACTAATATATATATATATATTATATATACACATATTATAATGATAATAATACTATTAACGAGCGTAAACGATGTCTGCTCGATATATTATGAATTTTAATATACCGCGGCACTCCGAAGCGCAGTAGGTGGTGGTTTCGACAGAGTTTCGTAACGGGGATTTGTAAACCCTCTCCCCCTCCATAGATATGAGTGAACAATTTTTTCATCCTCTTGCCGGCAAGTGTTAAAACGCGTTTACGTTTCATTATTATTTTTATTTATCAAATGTACAGGCTTCAATGGTCCATAATGTTAGCTTAAATATTACATTATATAACATTGGTTTAAATAAAATTTTTTTTTATCTAAATATATGTGTGTCACACGAGTGTCTTAGTGATCATGTATAAGTGAGGAAGATACGATTGACGCGAGTATCTTATTG